ACATTCAACATTAGACATGTCAAAATTTTGACACTAATTTTTTGAATGAATGTAATCCAGTGTGTTTTTGTGGCTATTTACATCAACTCATCGTTTAGTTTGTTTTTTAGAGTCATAAAAATAGGTTGTTTTAGTTTATCGGGTCTGTTTAGAACAGTACCTATAAATTAATAACATAAAAATTTTAACTAGTTATTTCTAAACCAGTTAGCGTTAAACAGTAGTCTGTTGAACATTTTCACGGTTGAACATTGAAAAAGTGAACTGTTATTTGTAATCCACCTTCTAATTTCAACTAAAATTCTCTACATTTTGTAGTTTTATATTTAATAATAGATTTTTCAATTTATAATTTTGCTTCCTAACTTTACGATTAACTTTTGATGGTGGGCATAGGTTCAGTTCTTCCTTCGGTTCTCTTTGTTCAAAGTAGCAAGGTACTTACTTAGGCCAGTTAACCCTCGTGGAGAAGCATAGCCGCCCACTGGCATTCTTCATCCAACTCTGTCTGGTGCAATTTTCTTTAGTTGCTATTCATCCTTTTCAATTTGTCTGCTTCCAATTCTGGGCGCTGTGTGTTCTTCGGCCTTCCTTTTTTCCGTTTCTCTACACTGTTCCAAGTTAGTGCTTGCCTCGTGATGCATTTTAGTGATTTCCGAAATGTATGTTCAATCCACCTCCGATGTCTTCCCCTAATTTACTCCTCAGATGGAAGCTGGTTTGTTCTCTCTCACAGTTGGCCGTTGCTGACGGTATCCGGCAAATGGATATTCAGTATCTTACGTACACAACTATTTATAAATATTTGTGTCTTTTTGATGATGGTTGTGGTAGTTCTGCACGTTTCAGCTCCATACAGTAAAACTTTCTTGACGTTCGTACTGAAAATTTCCGCTTCAATGTTGACTGACAGTTGTAAGAATGCTGCCCTTGCTTTGCCAATCCTCGAATTTACGTCTGTATCAGATCCTCCTTGTTTATCGATGATGCTTAACGGGTACACAAAACTGTCCACCTCTTCCAGAGCCTCTCCATCAAGTGTGATTGGGTTGGCGTTCTTCGTATTGTATTTAAGGATCTTGCTTTTTACGTTTTGCATGCTGTGGCCTACCGATGAAGAGGCTTCTTCTACACTAGCTTTCTTTACCTCCATTTATTGCTGTGTATGGGATAGAAGTCCGAATCGTCTAGTTTATTCCACACTGTCCATTATATTCCGTGCTTTCCCTCAGATATAGAGGTCCTCATAATCCGGTCAACCACCAGATGAAAGAGGAGTGAGTAGGGAGTAAGCGGCCTTATTTGGCGTCGGTCTTCACTTGGAATGTATCAGTCATCGGTCCTCCATGCACAGTTTTGCAGTTCTCACATCTGCTCAAATCATATTTCTTTCGTGTCTCGATGAGATGTCCACCTATCTAGTCTGTCGGCACTTGTTCTCCCTACCAAATATTTCTGAATAGAACTTGGAGCATGTTTGCAGTTACTTCTTTATCTGACTTTAGTGATTCAGCTGGTAAACTGTCAGGTCATTCTGCTTTCCCTGATTTGTATGATGGATATCCTGATTTTTGCGGTCGTTTTGGAGCAACATTATTGTGGAGGTATGTAGGCTATGCTTTGATGTCCGGTAGATTCAGTGGGGCTGGCTATTCAAGAGTTCCTCGAAGTGTTCTACCCATATGTTCCTCTGTTACTGAATCTCGGTAATTGTCTTGCCTCCTTTGTCTTTGACCGGTATTTCTGGTTTATTATATTTCCACATCAGTTTCTTCGTTACATCATATAGTTGTTTGATATTTCTTTTTCTTGCAGCTTTTTCAGATGTTGTTGCTAGGTCTTCCGCTGTCGTCCATTCCAACTTCGGCATTTAGATCTTCCATCAGAATGATGAGATCCTTTCCTGGGCACTTCGCTATGATCGAATGACGCTTCTCGTAAAACTGGTCTTTATCGTCGTTGTAGCTATCATTGGTGGGTGCATAACACTGGATAATATTCATCGTGATTCCCTCCTTCTTTGCTTTGAAGAATGCTTTGATGATCCTGATGGCATGAGATACCCATCCTTTAAATACTTTTTGTGCTTCTTTGTACAGAGTCAGAGTAACTTCCTGACTATGTAGAGCGTTTTCCTCTTTGTGACCGGAGTATATCAGCACTTCTCTTGAATCTATCCTTTTCTGTTCAGCTTTTGTCCAGTGGGCTTTACTTATCTCAAGAACTGCTAAGTTGTATCTTTTCACTTCCGCAACTACTGATTAGTCTTCTCGATTTCTCATATTGTCAAGTTTGTTCTCTGCGGGATGGGGATGTTGACTCCACACCCGACCCTTCTCCGTCGTGTGATCTTTCGACCAGCAATAGTCCTAAAAGAACTATACGCAGAGTTAAGGAAGCACGATAAATTGTTAAATTTTCTGCCGTGATTTCGGTAAATAATTCAGTTTATAAATCTACGAATGACTACCGAAATACTATATGGATATGTTACAACTTCAAACATGTGAAATCATACATTTGTCTATGAGTGGAAATAATGAATTCCTACAGGTCTAAAGTGAGATCATCTGTCTCAATTTGGAAGGTGAGAGTTATTATACAGAATGGTCATCTCATAGACATTATTTTAGATCCAGGTGTTTGTGAAGAGATGAAGAGTCGTATCAGGATATGTAGTAATGAATATGCCAAATTTAATGTCTGAAATTAAATATGTGTTTTGTCAATAAAAGTATTGTGTTTAATAGATGAAAAACCGTCTATTATAACATGCCCTAACAATAATTCACATTATTTGAGACATAACATATAATAAGAAATTATTAAAAAAACTACAATAAGGTAATAAACATATGATTAGATGTTCTAAACCGACGTATGTCACTCATGCGTTACTCAATGCTTATTTGAACGCTTGAATTGAAGTCATAGAATTTTCAACAGATATACAAACAAAATCTACTGCTAACAAAAATCGAGACTTCAAGTAATATTCTGTATTATGTGTCAAATTTGTATTTGAAATTATCTCAGCGATTGAACTTTGAATAATCACATTTCGTCTAATAATCTTATATGGACTGCTTCAGTATCATAATCGGAATCATCAAAGAGTATATAACTCTTTACAAACAAATCCACACTGAAATCATTCATATCACAATTTTGATTTTGGTAATTAGGAAAGTATGTGTTAGTAAGAAGAAAATGATGCGAAAAAGAGTGAATGTATGCATATACCTTAATATTATGAAGCATTACAATTTCGTGAATAAATTTAGACCAGTTTACTACCTAAAAAATCTAATGGCAATAGAAATATACCTATCTAAACAGTAAATCATAATCATTACTTGGAACTGATCTCAATTTCCACATCATGTAATTCTTAGTGGCTCAAAATCTGACTTCAATTGGATAATGTGAATGATCCTAATCGAATAACTGCTATCCGAATTACACTTGTCGCGAATCGTTGATTTGAACAGACAGTCGATCAGAGAAACGAAGCGAAGAGAGTGAAGCGAAATGATGCGCGGTGGGGTAGGCACGTTAGCCAACTCGACTTATTCAAGCGTGAATCGATATATTTTATAGTCAGATAAAAATAAGTTACAAACACGTGATGAGTAAGATAGGAGGAAATGAGCACACATATGTTTACATAAAAACAGTCAAGGTTGATAAGCGAATAATTAATAGGGTCAAAATGTGACTGAAGAAAAATGAATAGATCGGCCTGTCCAGAAACTAGAATAAACGATGTGGGCTTAACATAGCAACTGATGCTACAAATTTCGCAATAAACATTTGAAAAATCTTACTGGTATTTTTCCAAAACTACATTTGACTCATTTCATTAAATCACAGAAAACAAAATACTTCAATCAATGGATAAATGATCTGTTTATTTTCTTCAAGTGGAATAATTCTAAATTGATTACCAATTGATTTAACTATTATTTTTGGTAATGAGTAATGAATGTTTGAACAATCTTGACAAATGGTGACACTTGAAAAAAATCGATACATCGAATTATTTCTTGATGACATTTTAAAAAAGCTAATTAGGGTCATGTAGATGCTATGGATAATTTAGTTTCATAATTCGTTGAAAAATATGGTTAAAGACATCCTGTTTTTATTACTGTTCTGAATCGGGGAGAATTGATTTTAATCATTTATCAGTTAACGAACTCACTAATACGGAGTATATAGAATAGCCAGAGTTTGATATAATGTTCAGTTTGAGATAATCCTTAAAATTTGAGTAGAATATTGAGTTAAACATAGCTTATTAACTTTAAATTCAAACGATACAGATGTTATCTAATACTTAGTTCACAACAGCTCACACAGTTGTTGGAAAATGTTATGAAAATACAAGATAGAAACAAATAATTAGTCATGGACTATTAGTTCATGTTCCCGTTAATAGCTAAACTTTGTCTGTTATTCAAGTCCCTTATGGGTTTTTCTTCGGTCAAGATTTTGATATTGGAATCCGAGTTTAGCTAATTAAATGTAACTAGCAAAAGATCTTAAATATAGATTTGATATTAAATTTCACTCGTTGAAAGAATCATCTTTACACTTAAGAAATGACAACCAGAATTAAAGATTAATCAAATTTAACGATGATTATTACTCAAAGATTAATTAGTCTTAGATTAGATCAGTCATGAGAGTATTAATAATCTAAGGAACAACTACATATGTCAAACTGTTTTATCCTACATTGAGGAGTTTGGCGGTGTGCAAAAAATAAAATTATCAAAACTCTTGCTACATCAATTCGGTCAATAATAATCAATCACAGGTAGTACCTATAATTATTATGATGATGTCACAGAATGAAAAATAGAGGTATATCTATGTGAAGCTAATACACAAATAAGTCAAATTTAATTTCTTGAAATGAACTATCCCAAAATTATCTCTCCCAATAAAAGCACATAACTGTTCCCTGTGAATTTGTAAATAATACAAAAGCAATTTTCAGAAAGAATTTTAATGCACACATGATTTCTTTATTTTAATTTACAAAAAAAGCATATTTGTACACATTCACTGGATTTGTGGTTCATTTATGAAGCATTTTGGACAGTCAAGTGTATAATCACTGAAACTATTTAAAATGCGTGTATGTGATTGTAGTGGAATTACATCGAACCGCGTATCAGTGATTGGATGATCACATAAAACTTTATCATGATTCAATCTGTTAACATTAGAAGTTTGAATAGTGCTATTACTATTATCTGGGTAAATATTTTGATTAAGTGTATCTTGGAAATTTAATGATACATATTCTTTATTAACAGTGTTATCAGAAGTTTTATTCAATGAATTTCTAAACGAAAATGCTTCATCAGTATCATAATTTTGATCATAGTTGAATTCATTAGGGGATGAGTTTAATTTCAATGTAGAACAATGAGGCATAGACAAGCTTTCTTTTATTGAAACAGTTTTTAGTTGTTTATTTAATTGAGCAATATTGTTAAAACCATGAGGATGAAAAAATTCTCGAAAATGTAACATTACTAAATCTTCATCCGGTAATTCACGTAATAGTTTTGAAGCTGCTTCTTGTGTCCAACTTGTAACTATTTGATTATTTACACAGATTAATTCATCACCTTCTTTAATTCCTGCTTCATATGCTGCAGAATTTGGAAGTACAACGTCCACATAAAGTCCCTTATTTATAAAACATAGAAATGTAAACAAAAATGACCATTTATTTTGTAGTATAAAATTTTAATAATAAAATGAAAAGAACTCAGATGATCAAAACAAATTCAACTGAGTATAGAATTATGTTCCCATTGTAATATTCACAGAAATATCCGTAGTTGCAGTAAAATCTTTTATTTTGAATTATAAAACTCATTTGATGTGTAATATATGATTGATGTATAAAGTAATCATGAACTATAGTAGAACACCAGCAATCCACTAGACTATTGTTATCATTTGCCAGAACTAGCATTCTCTAAGCAAACATGGATAGTGGCTAGCAGTGGAGTCTCGGGCTTGCGTTTCGTCCTACTTGGGACTCGTCAGCTGGATGTACCTGCATCTGAGAGTTGATGTTCACTCTGGGACTCGGACCCAGTACCGTTTGTTTCAAATGCCATCGCGTTATTCACTTAGCTACTGAGTCCTGATAGCTACCTGCTTGTGCAATGTGGTGAAGTTGTATTCACTTAATGTTGTTCACTTGTAAGTTCCCATTGTTATTTGCGACTGCATTGATCAGTCTGTTGTTGGTATATGTGCATTGTGTGAGGACTGCCTTGATATTGCCTTAATTTACAAGCATTATAAGCACATATGCCAATAAGAGACTGATCAATTTCAGTCCTAAAACATCAATGGGAAGATTCAAGTAAAACAATACCAGGTGAATTAACATTCTCTAAGTTTAAAAAGTAATGAACTCTGTTTGTGGTTACAGTATATTGAATATAATCCTATCAAAGATATTTTCCTACATTGTTTATTATTATAATATTACTGCTTAGGTTAAAACTACTTGTTCATGATCTGTCAGTAGTTTATTTACAAAATAAGTCAATCATAAAAAAGAAAAAGGAAAAATACCAAAATTAGATTGACTGAGAATAATTAAGAGATGTTTATTGTGTATAGGTGGTCTTCATAAATTGCTTATATATAAACATTTTTAAATGAACTGATACCAAATAATAGACAAGTAGAGGTTAATCTTTATAAATTATTTTATAATTCCATGTAGAAATATCAAACTGAAATTAGAAATACTATCTAATATAAACATTAAAATTGTATTCATTCAACTGATTCAATATAATCATATGAAATACACTTAAATGTTAAAGTTAGATTCAGACTAGAAATGGGTTCGAATTCCGCGAGCGGGATCGTGGATGCGCCCTGTTGTGGAGTCCTACAATAGGTTTCCAACGGTGGTCTAACATCAATCGGTTCATGATCTCAATCAAGAAATGGAATTGTTGACTCACATGTTTTATTCTTTTTGGGAATCTGTCAACTGAAACTGCCTTTATATATATATAACAGTAGTAACCGATCAAATTTTATTGAAAATATCAATAATAGGAAAAGTGAAACCAATATATATGTATATCTACTAGGTGTTAAAAATCTTTCCTCAGTTTTACCTGTTTAATCGATAAGACTGTATCAATTCTACGAGCTTAACGAATTCTCTTAATATGCAAATAAGTATTAAATGTATTCTATTTATTTACTATGTATTATTTCCAAATCATTTGGTTGCATATGTGTTTGCATATCTACAAAAGTCGTAGGAAAATTAAGTTTCTGGAGTGTACTGGTTAATTTTAAATAAAACTAGTGATACTTGTCATATTTTTTGATAGCAATCCTTTAATAATAAATACATATTTATATGCAATTCAGTTTTGTGAGACTTCACTAACCTCTAGAATGGTATTATTTGCACACGAAAACAAATGGGAGACAAGATGAACAATATAGGGTGATTAGAGAAAACCTTGGACATAATTTTCGGGATATTTTACACTTCTCAGCAAGTTATAATTATAATGTTGAGTGAAATTATATTGCTCGACGGATTCGACCCCATATCACCCAGCTTTATGTTTAGAGACGTTATCACCGATCTATTCCGACCATCACTGAATTCCCATAGGACCGAAATGTACCTGCAGTTGATTGTTCACTGACCAATGTTGTGTCATATCCCTCATGATGCACTGATTTCTATCGATCAGGTTACAATGCATCTATTAGTCTAAGTAACTTGGTATTGCGTGCATTATGTTGAAGTACAAGGTTTGTTTAGGTAGTCAAAAAGAAAGCATGCACCTAGATTTCCTACTATTTGGTACTCATTAGCAAGGTGTACCTGTAATTAGTCAATAAGTTTATATGATTTTTCATGTCTTTCCTTTTTATATTATGCAATATATTAATGATCGAAACTAAATTACAGCTAGTCTGTAAGGAAATGACAACTTGATAATGTTGATTACGGCAGTTCTACATTTGGAAAGCTTTAGTAAAATAAATATCATATAAATAATAATGAAGTATATAAGATGTAATCCAGTTAACTAGTTAACTCGTTTAATAAAGTTTATTTGTTTCTTGAGTATCTTAAAATGTTGTATTAATGATGAGATAAAATATACGTAAATTGTATTGGGCTAATTACAAAATGAATAATCATTATAAATTTACAATTTATCAGAACAATTTGTAAACAAAAAAAGAGATTGTCTAAAGATAAAAAATAATGTTACATAATTAAGGTATTTTTCTATTGACCAGATTTTATCAGACGAAAATTATATGTTTAACTTAAAGAATAATAAAAATAAGAAAGAGAAAAGTAATGATACGGAAGGAAAGTTTTCTTAGTAAAAATTTGTCTTAATATAAAAATTATTAGAAATTATAATAACTTAATCCTACTATATAAAGAAGGACATCTAATCAAGATATCAAAGAAAAACAATCTTAGAAAGTATGAGAACTACTCTTCTCTTAATACCAAGGCACAAATTGAATACACAGAAGTGAACAAGCAGGTGAAGAGGAGCATCAGAACTGACAAACGTAAATATGTGGAAGGTTCAGCAATGATGGCGAGAAAGGCTGCACGAGAAGGAAACATAATACAATTATATGACACAACAAAGAAACTCGCTAGGAATTATCGCAAAACAGATCGACCAGTGAAAAGCAAGGAAGGCAAAGTAATTATCAACATCGAATACAAAGAAACGGGTGGGTAGAACACTTCAAAGAACTCTTGAGTCGACCAGCTACACTGAACGCACCCAACATCGAAGTAGCACCCACAGACCTCCCAATCGATGTTGGCCCACCAACAATTGATTAGATCATCATGGCCATCAGACACATCAAGGAAGTAAAAACAGCAGGACCAGACAACATTCCATTAGAGGCACTAAAAGCAGATGTGGCAGTAACTGTAAAGATAATCCACATCCTCTTCAGCAAGATTTAAGATGAAGCACAAGTACCAAAAGACTGAAAAGAGGGACATCTGATCAAGATAAAAAAGAAAGGCAATCTCAGCAAGTGTGAGAACTAGAGGGGAATCACTCTTCTCTCAATACCAGAAAACGTTTTCAACGGGGTATTTTTAAACAGAATGAAGGATCAATAGGCTGGATTCCGTAAGGATCGATCTTGTACAGACCAAATCATAACACTACGGATCATTGTGGAACAATCAATTGAATGGAATTTATCAATCTACATCAACTTCATTTACTACGAAAAAGCATTGGAAAGCTTGGACAGGACAACACAATGGAAGCTTCTTCGACACTGCGGCGTGCCTGAGAAGATAGTCAATATCATACGGAATTCCTATGATGGATTAAACTGCAAAATCGTTCATGGAGGACAGTTGACAAACTCGTTCGAAGTAAAGATCGGTGTCAGGCAAAGTTGCTTGCTCTCATCCTTTCTCTTTCTCCTGGTGACCGAATGGATCATGAAGTCGTCAACATTTGGGGGGAAGCACGGGATACAGTGGACAGCCAGGAGATCAAAGGAAAAGAGGAAGACCAAAGAACACATTACGCCGAGAAATGGAGACAGACATGCGAAGAATGAACAAGAATTGGATGGATCTATAAATAAGGGCCCAGGACAGAGTGTGTTAGAGAATGCTGGTCGGAGGCCTATGCTCCATTGAGAGCAACAATTGTAAGCAAGTAAGTAGCTTTATAAATACGCTACATATTTGTACTGATAATTATTGACGAAAGATTTGATAAAATTATTCAATATGCATACTAATAATTTTGACAAAAGTTTTATAACCAGCGCTTTTAGTAATCTATTCAATGTAAAATGAATTTAAAGAAATGTTTCATTATTATTTTTGTGGGATCGCTTTTCTCACATTGTTTTCTTTGTCATCTTTGTCTTTCCGTTCAATTCATCAATGTTGACTTTCTATTTTTCACATATAAATCTATCAACAAGTATATTGGTGATCAGATCATTCAGTATGTATTGTGTTGGTATTTCATATTGTTCAGAAAAATCCAATTTTTTGATCATATTATTATTATTATTATCATTATTATTATTATTATTACTAAATATCGTTCTCATAGTGTATTATTATTGGAATTTGTTGTTCATTCAATTCAGTCTGTCAAACGTTTTCTTATTATAAACATGGTTATGAAGAAAAGCAAACTCTCTAATTAAATCAAAATCCGTGTCATGTAGAGATAGGTACCTACCTTAGACAATGGACGATACTCACGCAATTTCGTAGATTGATTGAAGTTAGACACTAACACTGTTAGATGGTGGCTCAGTGGTCTAGAGGCTAAGCGTTCGTGCCCGCGACGGAAGGTACAGGATTTGAATCCCGGATGCGGGACCATAGATGCACACTACTGACGAGTCTCATGCTAGGATGAAACGGACATCCAGTGCTTCCAGGTTTTCAGTGGTAGTTTAACTTTTATCGACTCATGATCTCAATCAAAAACTTACCGATCTCCACAACCCCACACTGATAAATCAAAATATACATAAAGCGATACGTTAAATTAAGTAGTGTGTTCTAATATGAGCATCAATGTTGAGATGAAGGTACATCCACATAGTAAATCGCAATTGAAAATAAAACACACTTGTCAGGTTACCTTACTAGTCATTGTGTAATGATTCGATGAATTCAAATGGCTAAAATACTGGCATTGTATTTTACTACACTTATGTTTTGCTTACATTTTTAATACTTTTCATCAGTAAGAGATCATATATTAAGGGTTGTGAAGATAAAAATAGAACAACACATATCAGCGAATATTATTGTTTCCAGTTAGATCGTCATCAGCCTTTACTCTGGTATACATGAATATTTATACGAAAAATCAGTCATACCAATTTTTAAGTCAATGATCACAATGAAACAAAATGTATAACTACACGTAATAGTTAAAAAGTACAAACTGATATTAAGAAGATCGGTGTACTAGAAGGAGTGATAAGAATAATAAAATAAAAGTTCTAATTAGTAGTTCAACAAAGGAAACAGTTCAAACTTGGATAAATCGACTTCAAAGTAATGATCATTAGAGTAGTTAATAGGAAATTTTACGCAGTCAAACTTGCGTTGATATTTTGTAGTGGACCATTGATATGCACTCAAACAAAGGATAAGTTGCCTGAGTTTGGCTGCCCTACGAATTCAGTTGAGCTTGCTGAGAAAGCTATACTGAGCGTATTCGAAGGCAACTCAACCAACGAATGAGTTTGGAAGGAGCCAGTCAAAGATAATACGGAGCTCTATCCTGGTACACCTGGTTGACAGCGGGCATATGGTATAATAAAGCGAATCATTTTAGGTGATCTTTTGTGTACCTTTGAAATTTCCCAAATGGGTTCGATTCCACTCTTACATGTAACAGGAACTATTGGAATCCGAACAGATAACCTAAATTTATGTTTGGATAGTGTAGTAAGAAGACGAAGATTCACAGAACTAGATGACATATATCTTAACCCCTGGGTACCGAATAAAGGATTATAAGGTATTACAGTGAAAGCTTAGCCATAGAAACCTCAGTGTTGGAGTCAAGAGGTACAATTTCAGTTTTAATTCATTTTTCAATAGAGTGTGACAATTATTTAGTGCCATTAGCGACACGTATTTCATTGCTGTCATATCTGAACCTAGTCAGTTACTACTTCACAATAGAACTTCAGAAAATCATGTGCTAAGTCACTTTTATAGTGTATATGAAGAGATTTAGTGGCAACTAGTTTGATACTTAGGTTGTCTTCATCACAAACAAAAGTATATAATCAAGTCAAATTTCATAGGAATCTCTGAAACTGATAAACGTCTTTTATTTGTCAGGATCTCTATCACTTGTTGAGTAATGCTTATATACTCCTCATTTTAAGTAATATCAACGTAGAACTTAAGACGAATTTAATAAACGTTAATAATCTATGTTTAATTATTGCATCTGACAAGTAAATAATCAAAAACCTTTCAGGAAAGAAGCTTCCACAAATACAAAAAGTAATGTGGCTATTGGGCTTATATGGGAATTACTTCTTTGTACAGAAATTATCAGAACAATGAAATGAAACCTTGGTCAAGAGATATTTTTGAAATAAAATGTTCAACGATTTTATATAGAGTTTTGGACAGTAATAATGTGCTTCAATAAAACAAAAAATTTGAACGTTAATTAAGTGTGCATTTGAAGACAATGAAAGTCTCTTTTGATAACACATAAGTGTTCTGTTTGAAGAGATTAAGAGATCATCTAAACCATCAAACGAAACAAAGGATCAGCAACGAAACTACAAGACATGCCTAAGGATTCTCTGCGCGTTAGCCTTGATAACTGAAGGGAGAAGACCAAGTTCGAACAAGGGGAAAGTTTATTCCACAAGCAGTCCGGAAGCTCAAACAAACGATCACACAGCTCAAACGTATTTATACCGTATAAAAATGTACTTGGGAAGCGTTACAAAATAGAGTATAAAATGAAGAAACGAATCAGTGACAGTTAAGCTTCTTCCGAATGGGAAACACAATCTGAAGTTAAAATTGGGCGCTTCTGGTGAAAAAATAAAAAATTTCAATTTTCCAAATAAAATAACAAAAAATCAAACGTTTACCAAGTTATTGATGGGGATCTAGTATCTCCAACAGATTAAAGTATAATTCAAGTTGTTTTGTAGATTTTTAATCTGATGTTATTGTTGAATAAAAATAATTCAGATTTTATGATAATCAAATTGTATACTGGTTTTTATCGATGAAACAATTCACATTAAGATGCTGACATGATTTTTATTAAATGGAAATGTTCTCATGGGACACAAAACAATATTGAAAGCCTGATTACATCGATACTAAAAATCCTTAGGGAAGTAAATATCAATACATTGAAATGAGTGGAAAATATGATGATAATCTAAAGAGAAGAATATTCTTGCAGTGAATCAAACAATTCACGAGATAAACTGTATAACTTTATTCAGGTTATGGTTGGTTAGACTTTCCAAATCAACCACTGTTTTGTGACAGGTATTTCGGTACTCATCAATATGTACTCTGTCAAACTGTAAGTATGATTATTTCAGTAATTCGTGTGCTGATATGATGGTATTATTTATTTTATACAGTAATAAGCAATTGTATTGTGGACTGAATACATAGGTACCCTTTCAAATACACTGATCAATTCAGTTCGCTATCATGATCACGGTTTACAGAAGTCGGTCATTTCTGCCTATTTCGAAGATCACCAACGGTTGTATATCGTCAAGAGTGATTTGACCTACTATAAAAATAATCCATTATAGCGTTAACACCACTGACTTCATGTTATGGATTGATATAATACTGGTGTTGGAAATCGAACATGATCAATAATTTGTGAATAGACCTTACTATTAATTTTCAATAATCGCTAACAGCAGTACATCTATCTATATGTCTAGTTACGTTATTTCTGAAAATTTATATGAATTACAGTTTGTTTGCACCACACAAACAATTAAAATAAATCAAGTTATCATGTACGTTATCTTCTTATTTATTTAGTTCTTTTTTTACAAGGATTCACTGGAAAAAATCAACAAAATTATCTCCCGAATTATCCATTCAATAAGCGTTTGAATCTAATAAAAAGCAACTTGAATGTCAGAGTCTCAGATTTCTTTACTCTGAAATAGATTATTTCAGATTGCTATAGGTAGATTTATATATTAACAATAGAAGGAACTCTGTACTAAAATGTTTTGAAATGATTATTTTCTAATTGCTGAAAAATTCCCATTATATTCCAAACACAATTATATGAACGAAGAATATACTGTTCAATGGATTTCTCATCTGGTTCTATAATTATCTTATATCCAAAGCAATAATCTATAAAATTGACCAGATTTAAGACAGAGTACATCATTTGTAAATTGTAATATGTGAATCAAGAATTGTTGATTGTGATATAAAATCAAATCGTTAATGTTGGGGCTGACTAATATGGAGTGTTAACTTGGATCAGTTTATAAGTGAAATGAAATTGTAAGATAAATGATCAGAATAAATATGGTCAACATGGGTTGAGAGAGAGGGAGAATAATGGAATAAAAATCAGAAATTAAGTAATATGTAGAATAATATGGATTGGGTCAGATATAGTAGATAGGGGTGGATACTGAATAAATATCTCAAAAACGTTATCACATGTAATGATAATAGCAATGATAAAATAATAATAATAATAATAAGTTTGGGACATAAAAATGATCAATTATCAAATTACGTCACCATATTATATAATTTATTATTTACTAGTTGACCTCGAAGTTGGCCAGGATAAAAGGAGCGGCTGAACATATTTCTTTCGGATGCAAAGCTCTGACTCTTTGATCTAAATACAATCCTCAGTCTGACGGAATTAGGTAGACTGTTGTTAACACGAACTATTATTGTGAAAATTGTTCCATGTTGGCTATATGTCCCTTTTGATTTAAATAGCCTTAAACTTGGTCAATTTTATGGATTAATAATTTGTATATAAGATAATCGTAGAACATGATTAGAAATTATTGAGTAGAATATTCTTCGTTTATTTAACTGTTTTTTATGACAAATTCATTAAATTATATAATATGCATTTAACATGTTGATTTCAAAGTATTTGGTAAAGATAAAAATCAATAGAAATAACTGTTGAATATTTCTTGACCAACACTAGGGTGTTTTGAAACGATCATTTACTAATTGTTATATTTAAAGCTTAGTTGAAGTAAAAATATAATGAATATATCAATACAGATAAACAACGAATTATTATTATTTACCTCAGCAATTCTTTTCAATCGTATACCAACACGTCCATTCATCTTTTTGACTAAAATAAATCGGATTTTTGCTAACATTGTCCTTTAATTAAAAAAATTTAAAAAATGTTGGAATAAAAACTATAATTAGGAAAGTGTTAGCCTTTCATTAGCCAATTAAACAAATCATTCCAGTAGTAACTATACTATTTATGATACCTCAATATGTAAAGTAATTGTATTTCTTACTTCCCGTGACTAAACGTAAGCTACTTTTTCAGAGTAAATAAATAACTGACATTAAATTAACATAAGTTTTAATGGTACAAAAGAAACAATGAAGAATCTTTTTAGTACAATCAAAATCATATTAGATTTGAATATATTAATGTCAAGTTATTCGTGGTCAAAATGAATTTGTATAACCTGTCATTGTATTAATTTGTGTGTCAGAGTGTGGGTATGAGAAATGTATGCATTTGTAATATTAAGTAGTGTGGATGAAGAAGTGGCTTACATTAAGTCACAAAACGTCAGTAATACAAATTTTCCACTCAGTTGGAGATAATAATAAATATATTTATTATTAACTTTTGATTGTACCAAACATATTCTGTACTGTTTCTTATTTGGGTTATTTAATTACTCTGAAGCAGTGACTTACAATTTTTCTTCTCATTGCGATATAACACAAATATATTTATTATTAATTTTCTACCGAATGCTGAATTCATTTGAAACTATGAAGTCCAAGCTTGGCATTGATACCTAAGAATACATTTTACTGTTTAACATAATGGAAATAACGTTTATTATTATCTTAAAATAATTGGTGCATATCTTTCTTATAATAGATACTTTTGCAAGAGAGAAGAATATTGATTACGATCATCTTTACTTATTTTTTTACACAATAAATAGTTTATGCACATAATGTTTAATGTATCATCATACAACTTAGTAATAAAGTATGGAATAGTGTATTTAGATTTAGGTAACTATTGAAATGTAAAGATTAATTATATTACCAAGAACTGCCTTAAGCAAAGTAAGCAAAGCTGATTTAATTCTATAGTTCAATCGTCTAAACAAATACTTCAACTACTTAACCACTACTCTATGAGTTTAAAGATTCTTTGACATGATTGGGATTGTTAATGTCTTCATTGAATCCTATTATGAATAATAACATGGGTTTTATTTCAAAGACATCTTATTGCGTACTACTAATGCTTACATAAGACAACTAAAGCGAGTTTAACAGAACGTAGTACAGTGACAAAATTCTGGATTACTAGCTTTTGAAGCGTTTTTCAAGATGAAAGGACATTTAGTCATAAATTGGCATTTGAAGAATCAGACGCGATCGGAAATGACTCTGAGTATATATGTCATATTGTTTAGACATCCTAAGTGCCGGTGATTTAAGAGAAAAGTATCTTACTACACCTGATCGTCTTCGGTTTAATACAACAGTTACTAAACTCTTCTGAGATGTTTCAAACTAGGACGAAATGGTTGTTTAACGCTTTCTGGTTTTCAGGGATTCTTCTGTTGGCGTCAGTCCGTAAAGGAAACAGTGTCATATCATCCAGGTTTTTAGATTCATTTGATAAAAGCATTTTAATTGAAACAATTTGCCAAACAATTCAATTGACAGGATCGCCTTTTAATTTGTATGCTATTGAAAAATGCAGAATAAAATACACCGAATTCATCCTACTCTTTCTATACCAGTTCATTGAACGAAGTAATCGTTTAATGCATATATGTTTGTGACTAACGTACTTAGTAGTTCATTTGAGTTAATTGACGTGTGATCTAACGATTGCATAGAAAGATGCTTTCCATAAATTCAACACCTAAAACAACTCGAATATCTTATCGCTGAACAATATATATATTTTGAAAATAAGTACAGAAACGTACGATCGAAATTTCGACGGATGAGATTAAACCAATAAACAGGCAGTAAACTCAAGTTCATAATTGCTTTCAGAATAATCTTAAAAGTATTTAAATCAAAATGCCTTACAGAAGAACAGTAGGTTTTTGGTGGAGTTACGCTCTCTGAATTGTGCGGTTAAATCATGTATCACACATTATTTATTGAGGCAACATCATCGACGTTAAAGTAATTAGTATATTAAATCTTAATCAGATGAACTAAGCGAAGAATAAAATAGCAATAATTTATCATTTCGCATGCAAAAACTTTCAAAAATTTAATCCTTAGCACAACACCACTGTAAGCCTGTTGTCAATCTGATATTCAGTACTTTGATTGTTATACTAACTTCATTACTTTTTAAAATTATACTAAATAAATCATTATATGTGAAAATTACATTTGAAATAATCTCAGCAATTGAAATTTAAATAATTCTAACGTTTCGTCCGGGTAATTTGTCTAGGCTTCTTCAGGGTAATAATCGAAGCTTTGATGGTTTTGATTTTGATTATTACTTTGAAGAAGTCCGGACAAGTTGGATAGATAAAATGTTGGAATTATTTAAATTCGAATCGCTGAGATTATTTCAAATATAATTTTCACATATAATGACTTCTCTATACTCGGCGCCCGATTTCTGTCAAACTATTCGTTCTAATCTTGACAAATATTCGTATATACTAAATAAACACTTAAAAATGATTTATGAAGTGAGAAGAACCAACCTTGGACGATATGCAATTTTCAGTTGACGTGTTGAACGAACTAACTGGTTAATACTATTAATAGAAATTGACTGTATTGAGATACCATTTAATTGTAGAATTTCATCACCAACTTTTAGACCAGCTTGTGATGCTAATGAACCCGGTAAAACAGTAGTTAAATATGTACCCTATAAGTTAAGTTATATATAAAACAAGATAATTAAAATACTGAACTTTAGTCAGATAACTGAAATCAAATTATTGTAAATTTTAATTTGATATTAAAATCCTTATTAAAATTTTATAATTTCTAATAATCAGAGTTTAGTTTCTAGGTATACTTGACATAAAATTTTTACGATGAAACGTCACCTTATAAACATTCCAAATAATTGAACTTGAAATCCATTATTATACAAACTTTTGATATTTAGTTCTTAAAAATTGTTGAATAATTTTTTTTCCTGGTTAGCATTTTTTAGCGAGTTAGACGCCAAACTTCGAGACAAACAGGCTGGATTCCGTAAGGATCGATCTTGTACAGACCAAATCATAACACTACGGATCATTGTGGAACAATCAATTGAATGGAATTTATCAATCTACATCAACTTCATTTACTACGAAAAAGCATTGGAAAGCTTGGACAGGACAACACAATGGAAGCTTCTTCGACACTGCGGCGTGCCTGAGAAGATAGTCAATATCATACGGAATTCCTATGATGGATTAAACTGCAAAATCGTTCATGGAGGACAGTTGACAAACTCGTTCGAAGTAAAGATCGGTGTCAGGCAAAGTTGCTTGCTCTCATCCTTTCTCTTTCTCCTGGTGACCGAATGGATCATGAAGTCGTCAACATTTGGGGGGAAGCACGGGATACAGTGGACAGCCAGGAGATCAAAGGAAAAGAGGAAGACCAAAGAACACATTACGCCGAGAAATGGAGACAGACATGCGAAGAATGAACAAGAATTGGATGGATCTATAAATAAGGGCCCAGGACAGAGTGTGTTAGAGAATGCTGGTCGGAGGCCTATGCTCCATTGAGAGCAACAATTGTAAGCAAGTAAGTAGCTTTATAAATACGCTACATATTTGTACTGATAATTATTGACGAAAGATTTGATAAAATTATTCAATATGCATACTAATAATTTTGACAAAAGTTTTATAACCAGCGCTTTTAGTAATCTATTCAATGTAAAATTAATTTAAAGAAATGTTTCATTATTATTTTTGTGGGATCGCTTTTCTCACATTGTTTTCTTTGTCATCTTTGTCTTTCCGTTCAATTCATCAATGTTGACTTTCTATTTTTCACATATAAATCTATCAACAAGTATATTGGTGATCAGATCATTCAGTATGTATTGTGTTGGTATTTCATATTGTTCAGAAAAATCCAATTTTTTGATCATATTATTATTATTATTATCATTATTATTATTATTATTACTAAATATCGTTCTCATAGTGTATTATTATTGGAATTTGTTGTTCATTCAATTCAGTCTGTCAAACGTTTTCCTATTATAAACGACAATGCAATTAATACATGAAATATGTAATTTTCAAACTTTATTTTGGGATTTAGTCTAAGAAACAGTAATCAACTCATCAGACGTACGATTCTAAATTTATATTATACTATGTTAAAGATTTACGCACCGCATATAGCTATCTGTTTACTGATTAAATACACTAGCGCAGAGAGCTATATGAATTTGTCGAAAACAATATCCATATATCTGTATTATAGTCAAACTTTCTAGACTAAAAATTGTAGAATTTCAATCAAATTTACTCAATCTGATCAACTTTTCAGAAGACATACAAATACGAAAACAGAAGAACAGAGTAATAATATACTATATTCACTGACTTACATAATTTAGTAATAAATAATGAGTATAGTCAAGCGGCAAAAATAAGTAACTGTAATTCATTCGATGCAGACTCATACAGATCCAATAAGTGTATAATATATGGAATTATTCATTTATGTCAGCGAAAACCGTAAGGTAAGGTTGTTTGATATTTTTAAAGAATCACTGTATCAAAAATATGTACTTCAGTACCAAATGATTATCCTCTTACATGTAGATCGACTAAAGACAATGAGTTTGTATCATTATAATAAAAATATGAGTATGCAAATATAGATACATAAATGAAATACATAATAAGATAGGACAAAGTTCTACGTGTTAAGCAGATCTACTTTAGTTGAATATATTTTAGTGATCGGATTTGCTAAATCATCAAGTTATATATATACTAGAAATGAATTGACAACAAGGTTCATTCCTTGCTATAAACTTTACTCTAAACTTGTCATCTGAACCTACTTACATTCGTTTGAATACGTTCAATTTAGAATGTATCTACGCTACCTTCCTGTGCAGTATCTCTACCCACCAAGTTATTCAGTTAATAGGCCCAACAATTCTTCAATATGGGTCATACGCGATATATTTTTCCAACTCTAATATTTAAAATTGAACATATCAATGGCTTTTGTAATACCCATAGCCTGAATAGATCTCATGGTTTATTATTAAATTATGACTTGATATTTGAAATAACGGGTACTTAGAACACCAACAACCTTGTACACACATCTATTAATGAACATCCTAAATAAAAAGGGCACATAGCTTTCAGACTTCAATGCTAGTCACCTTTCAGAATCTAATATGTCGTAAATAAAGTAAATATTACAGTGTCTATTGTTGAGCCCAAATTTCAACAAAGACATTACCCAAATTTATATACAACGAGAAAAAAAGAAAACTCTTACAATGAATAAAATAGTTTAATGGTCAAAATGTGTTGATATTTTTCAGCCAACCATTTATATAACTAGTGAAAATAGAAGTTAACATTATGAAATGCAAATGGCTGTGTCAATATTCGCGTTTCTAAAAATAAATTTCAATGTGTGGTAATTTAGAAATGAAACAATTTGAAGGTTTACAATAAAGACATATATTTCGTTATAACTTGTCAATTGAATGCTACTTGTTATATCTGGTCGTCGCTGATTGTTGTGTTGGAAACACTTATCACTTATACTCGAAATGAGGGACCTCTGCAACTCCCATAACGCAAAAGTAAGGACACAAAAACTGGTATAAGTGAAGATTTATTAACCCTAAAATATGACGACAACCGTAGTCAAAAATACACTCATTTATATATTGATTGTACACCTATTTTTGAATAATAATTAGGATGAAATCACATATATGAAAAATACTTAGTTATAACAAATCATATGCTGAGTATAGTTCATGTTAACGTAATACAAGAATATTGTATATTATACAGAATAAAATGTTATACGGGGAAACAAAACAAATACTACATTGAGTAATCATCACATTAAATTAAAATGGAAGTAATGTTGAGTAAAAATCATAATGAGTAAATCAATCTAATTTGGACTTTTCTTCCCATCATACCACCATCCCTTTTTTTTTTTGAAGACTCAAAGTTTAGATCCTGTCTCTAAATTTTCTGACTTCATATTTATTTTTTGCATGATGTGCTTTTGAATTAGATCTGTTTAACACTTTCCTCTCAGAATGCTCGCTGATGTCATAATTCTTGTTGCGAATAATAGTTTATGATTGTTCAAATTTTCTATCGTGAGTAAAATTCATTATAACTTGATACAAGAGTAATATACACATAAACTGTTTTATGAGTGATAATCTAATAAAGTATTATTTATAAGCCAATTTTAAGGAACAGATTTCCTATGGTTGTTGCTAACATATGGCAAGCAATATATTTATATTGACCAAATCAAGATAACACAAAGCATTTTCTAAATCCCTCCGGGCTAATCAAACTCAAAATTAGTATAGAAAGCAAGAACAAAGATTCTAGCAGAATAACATGAATTCATTTTATTTCGTTTGATTCTCGTCAGCTGCTTAAAACCTGTGATATTTAAAAGTCATAATTACAAAATGGGTTTAAATTACTTACATGAAGGAGTTTAGTTGGAAGTTGTTTTGAAGACATATCAGCATAGTATAGCAAGGATATAAATAAATTTAATAGACTGGATATTGTAAATATATTTCTTATGTAAAAAGAACTTTCTACATTGATTGTAGAAAGAGTTCAAAGGGCCAGAAATAACTGATCACATAATGAGTAAACGCTTATAGGAATAAAATGAGTAAATACCAGTTAATAAAGTAAGACTACTCATCTGAAAGACAATCGACGTAAAAAGATACAATGTAATAAATTCAAGAGAGTTAAAAATAACTTTTTTTAAGGATTCTCATGAGAATCTAATCGAAAACAATATTGTTCGCTTATATATGTTGTTCTAAAGGAATATTTGTCACGAAGGCAAGGAAAATTAATAACCATATCCTCTCGAACACGTAAGTCAGGTTTTTGATGCCTGATAACAACAGCTTCAGCGAACTTCAGAAGACTAGAGTTTGACTGTTTACCAATCACCTTGAAAGATTACAACGTATAGACTTGATATCCCGTATCCAAGAAGTGTTTGGTAATTGCACTGTTTAAAAGAGTTCTTTCTCTTGTTCTAAGGATTTTTGGAACATGCTTAAAAAATCTAAGCTATGTCCTCCTTTCTGTTCAGCCGATGTAGCTGCTTTGACAGGTACACATAAATTTATAAGCACAGAGGTAACATGAAAGGTGTGCTTGTCTATCTTTGATCGGGTCATCGAATATGTTGTTTTATACAGAATTAATAGGTTGACTGCCGGGTAAGTTCTGGCTAATATAGTGTTAAGCCGCCTGCTGATTGTGCTTGTGACGTCATCGCCTCTGAAGTTGAGATTTATAGATATTGATTTTTTTTATTAACTGCAGTCACTTCTGTCAAGACCTAGCGTATAACTAGTAGCTGTACTAAAGGGTTGTTTGGAATACACAAATATAAACTCGTAAAACGTCTGTTAACGTAACAGAAAAGATAAACGCTCATTTGTTTTAAAAAACCCAGGTCATTTGATAAATTTAAACAGAGCAAGAGCAACACAGTGTGCAGAATAAATGAATTCATTCTATTCCACAGTTACTCATCAGCTACATACAGCCTAAAATTACAATTAATAATATAAACATAATTCTTAATAAATATTTAACATAAATTAGTTTGTAAAGTTTTGATAATTTTTGGAAACGTAAC